GAGGGCTTGAAGGGTTGGGCCCCTGACTACAGCCAACACCCTATACACCTGTGCTCTTCGGACTCGGCTCTGCTCTCACGTCCCAGCGCTCCCAGCCCTCAGCGGAACTGCGCAAGTCACTCCGCTCTCCCCGACGCCTCTCAGAGGTCTCTTTCGCACTACGGCTTTTCCCTCCGTTTAATTTACTCGTGTTGCGCGCGTCTCCGGTGTTGCCTTTCCGTCACTGCGAAATATGTCACAAAAGGCAGGGTATAAAAAGATTAATGAATAAAATTCACGTTGCGGCACTTATTAATCAGACTACAACCGCAGCCCCGGAGGGGACACTTGTCGAGGGGGTTTCAAGGTCTCCTTACATCAGCACCGGCAGCAGAAAAGTTGGGAGACGCTGCTGAAGTGGCCCAGTTGAACAAGTAACCACCCAGTCCAGCTCAGGCTGATTTGGCTTGAAAACCTGCAGATACACTGGCCCCACCAGCGCCAGGGTCAGGCTGGTAGCTGACATAAAATTAATTAGGTGTAAAGGACTTTGAGTCCTATACGGCTAAAAAAAATAATGAGGTTAATTGCTTAATGGTGGCCTCAGGTTATAACAAACCGCAGGTCCCCAGACTGCAGCTTTCACCTCATCTAAGAGTGGGACCCCCCACCCCCACATCACGGCTGACTCCCACTTTACCACTCAGTTACTGAAGTTACTCTTGAGCTCGCAGATCCCCACAGCATCTCACAAAAAAGGGGGGAGAGGGGATGAGGGAGGTGGGGGGCACTGAGCTAACTGGCTGAATGAGAATTTGATTCCGATCAGGGAGAGCAGCGTTCCCATCTGACACGGGGGTCAAGACACCACACCTGTGTCACAAGGGCCAGCTCGTCTGAACGCCGCCCCGCATGTCTTCCTGCGGATCCCTGCCAAACACACACACACACACGAGAGAGAGAGAGAAGCACAACTCCAGACACGCCGCTGAAACCCACTTCCACTCCAGTCCACACGTCATAGGTCCAGAGCAAGCTCTTCAGAGAGCCACCCTCCTCGCCAGCAGCTCCCACAAGCAGCCGGGACCCCTCCGGCATCCCGGCCGGGGGAAATCCCTTCCCATCCCAGGGGAGCAGAAAACAAACAAGCTGACGGCCTGCCGTGGCACCGACACAGCCCACACAGGTCCGAGCGGCGACCCGGGACGCCCAAACCCCCGACCTTAACACGCTGGCCGCGGTCCAAACCGGGTCGGGCTGAGCTGTCCGAGCAGAACCGACACCTCCCGCCCGGCTTGCCCCCACCACCCCACTCCCAGCTCCTCACCGGCGGCAGAGGCCGTCCCGAGCCGGGACTGTGCGCCCTGCCGCCTGGGCTCAATAACACACAAGGTCTGGTAGACACACACGAGAGAACAGCGTAACAACAAACGGGCTCACCTCCTCTCGCCCCTCCGCCGCGGCGCCGGGTGACCTTTCTTTAATTTTTGGTGGTGTGTCGCCGTCTATGAGCAGTTCCGAGTGGCAGTGAACGAAGGCCCAGGGACTGATCCCCGAGCTCTCCTCGACGTTCTCCGCCGGCGTGCGAGCCCCGCCGCCGGGCTGGGCCAAGCCGCACAGCCCGCGGACTCCGGGGGGGCCTCGGCTGACGATGCCGGGAGGTGGGGATGATGCCCCAGAAGCTTA